GTAGCGGCAATATACCCGCCACGTCGAATGTTCTGCAGTCGAATCTTAAGTATGTTGGTTCTGAACATACAACAAACGTGCATACTATAAAACGAGGGAACAGTGCAGTCAAATCGCATCCCGCCGACACTGAATTTGCGCAGATGTTCGTGCTTGGTAACCAATGTCAGCTTGGAGCCCGCAATAGAGTCTAGGTATGTTATTTAACGCACCCCATCTAGAAAAAGAAGCATTACATTCGCAACCAATAGCAAAGAAAATACGCGACGTCACCTGTGCAAGCATGAATGATGCCGAGATGAACCATACCTGCGAAAAGGTAGACGTGAAAGCGCATCAAACATAAACCTAGCTCCTCGGACATCAAAATCACACACCCCGAATCTTGTGGCTTTCGATGGATTGTCATTCAAGAAATTTCCCAAAAGATCGATAGGTGACCAGATGGCTGTCCCGTAAATTGCCTGCGATGACGAGCTTACAAGGATTCCGATCAAACTTACAAACGCCGCACTTAGAGGAATCGCAAACAGCTGTGAGTGGAGTGCGGCCGACGGGGTGCGTGCACGGGAGGCGAAGTCCGGTGCGTTTGTGACAAGGGTTACCTCGTTACTGATGCATGACATAGAACTGACCACCATGGCCCAGCCTAGCTTTGATCCGTGCAGTGTGGAAGGTTGGTGTATGATCGGACCGATTCCGTGAGCTTTCACGATGCACCATATGAGGAATGTGATTGATGCTATGGGCATCAAGATGGGTGTCACAAGGAAGAAGTGGCGGCTGGGGAGGGTCACTTTATGACCGTCTTCAGAAGATATGAGTGTACTTACACCTTGTGCACAGGGAACCAAATGATTGGCAGCGAAATGAGCCAGAAGAGGAAGAAGCATAGGTAATCTCGAGTGTTCGTTCCAGAGGATGCGGGCATCGAATTTGCTATCGGCCAGCCTCAGTTGGGTATGATTACCACAGGAAACGAGAAACGCAACGCACCCAGGTCATATATGCTAGGCCACATTGCTCTGAGCATTACGAGCACACAGGAACCTCCGATGCTTGCCTGAACGCCATACCATATGCTATGCTGCTTAGCTCGCACGTCATTGCAAAGCTGGGAGGGCGTACCATGCCATAGCAGCGCGATTAAAGACACACCACAGACTCCCAAACATCCCGAAGCTTGTGCGATTCACGATCGGAAACATCACATGGAAAATGGCACCGGGACGTGCATTCAGGACAAGGAAAGGCGCGGCAATGCCATAACCCAGCCACACGCATATCCAGGCCTGCCACCACGACATTCCTAGTTGGATCATAGAGCTTGAAGATTTCATTTAATACCGACCAACGAAATTATAATGGTGGTAGTGAGCGTACGATACGATCATCCACATGTTTATGTTAAACGTGTCCGCTGTCCAGAAGGCAATGTAGTTGTATGCACGCCATGTGCGTTTCGCCGGCTCGACAGGCAGCAAATCGTCGTTCTATCATAGATCAAGTTATGTCAGTACATGGGGGATCGTATTCATCGTAGATACTTACAGCAACGAGCTGCTGGGCAATGGTGAGGTTGGGCTCATGAGTGACTTCGAAGCTTTGGACGATCCTATTGACCAAGCCCATGGCAAGTTCAACTGGTAAGAACCTCGGCGCTGTCAGTCGCTGTTCTTTAACTCTATGCTTATCTCGCAGCTTGTAGTTAAAATAGATTATTCCTGACGCGATTCGTTAAGGCCTAAGACAAGTCAGCTGTCACTGTCAGGCCCGGTCTGCTAGGTAGCACGCAGTACAGTCCAAAAATAGAGGAACCGACAGGTAGTGGGAGGCGTTGGTCTTGTTCGTGGGTGACTGAACTTCCCTTGGTAACAAGGCGTACGATATTTATCTGCGATAGCGCGAATTTTACGTACTAACTCAAAACACACTACTAACCCGAAGCTAAAGTCCGTCAACTCTTGCAGGGAATACAGAGAAAGGTATACAAACTCTGTCAATTAGACTCTTGATCCAAGGCTTCTATAGCGGTGTCGTTTGGCCCATCATGATGCATCCTGGGTTGGGAGCTGGTCGTTGAAAAGGTGTGATTTTGAAACTCAGCGATGATATCAGGCCAAGTCCGATTCGGTGATGGGAAATACTCACCACAGAGAGTATTGCACACCTCGCTTAATCTCTGTTCGGTCCACGCAAGCGGCCGAGCATACTTTAGTTGCAAGCTTATTGACTAGCTCAGTAGTATATCAAGACAATACTGCAGAGGTGTTTGGACGATGCGAGAGGGCCTAAGCATGTACCGTAAGCGATTAGCTAAGGTTGTCTGGTGGATCATCGTGTGGAGGTGTCATATGGTACGAAAGTTAAGAAGTTTCTGCAACGCATGGTGTCGATGGCGAACCAAGATAATAAGATAGCGTACGAGAATGGTAAGGAAGGGGGACGATGGACTATGGTACTGTCCTCCATAGAGTCTCACTCTCGATGGACATAAAAATTAGATTATATATATGTGTGTGTTATTGAAAGCACATACCTAGATGAAGCAAGTAACTGGAAGGTTGAGAATTCAGGAAATGACCCAAAAGCGGAGATGCAAGCAGAGACAAAATAATGTGCCAGCCATGATCATCATCCCAGATTCCATGGATCCGGAAGACCTTCTGGTACGATCATCCTGTCACGTCAACGATAATTTGTTCGACAGTAATCTCAAGCTTAGCGTCGACTTGACACGGCGGTTACGGGGTAATGAATTGTGACTGCGCGAGCACAAGGCTGTAAGGAGATGAAGGAGCTGTTGAGGGCGCAGTTTATAGGGGTTGTGTTGTTTGTGGAGGAGGAGAAGTAAGAAGGATGAATGGGCAAGTGCTTGGTGCAGAATGTACGTATAGGACATCACTTGCGTCAGGCGGACGCTTAGCGCTCGCAGCCGACATGACTTCAAGTCAGAGTCCGAGTCCGAGTCTGGATTCCGGAAGGCGACACGACAGACAGCGATGATCGAGTGAGAGTCGTGTATGCTAAGTTGAAGTCGGAAGTGGAATTCGATATGTCGCCGCCAGATGAGGCAACACTGTAGACAGTCGAGTAGACAATTGTTCAACCGCCTCATCGTCAAAGACATCGGAGTGGAAATTGGGAGATCGAGGTACCTCTTCAGAATCGCAGGCAGACTCGGAATATGATGTAGTGGTCCATTGTCTGCTGGCTGTGCAGATGCTCATTAGCATGATACGGTCAGGACTTGTTCACATCCAACATTGGCTCCAGCTGAAACACTACCATTCGACTATGTGAGTTTGCATACTGATGATTGCGTTCCAACGAGAGTGAACGTCACTCTAAGTTTCCTCTGAAGTTTCATCATCATTCGCTCGCAGTCTCTGATCCCGCGTCCTTCGCATTTCCTTAACATCCAGGGACCCACTTGCTTTGTGCTCATAGCAAGACACGTCAAATTTCCTTGAACGTGTTAGCAGTGTCGACCACTGGGAAAACACGATTCAGTGTCCAATGGACGAAAGACAGTTCATATATCCGGGTAGCTGCTAGGGGTTATCCGCCCAGCTGGAAAACCACAACTCAGCATGGAAGCATCACGATTGTGGGTTCACTCACTAGCTGGATCCAGCAAGACCGACAGCACTGAGAAGGATTCCAGCAATATACGCAGTGTATGCTCTTCATTGTACATGTCAGTACTTTGAGTACTTCATGTCCATTGAGAATCTCACCGGAAGTTGATCCCACATGTATACCAGTACCAGCTGCCAATCCTGGTGCTCTTTATATCCTTGTGGACAACGCAGTATTCCGGCAACCGTACAATGCTACGCGCAGGCACACGGAGTTGCGGATAGCCTACTCCAACGTTAATTCAGGGCAAGGGAAGACCCTGACCCAATCATACGCAAATCCAGGCTTGCTACCAAGACATTCCTAGTTGTATGATAGTCTTATGGAGCTCAGAGATATCATTTTGCACGCCATGTTTGCTTCTCTGGCTCAACAGGCAGCGAATCGTCGTTCTGTCAGAGAATGCTATGTTAGCATGTGAAAAATCGAATCCGTAGTGACTTATGCTCACGGTAACGAGCTGCTCGGTAAACGTGAGATTAGGCTTCGAGGCCTTCAGTGATTCTGTTGACCAAGCCCCTGGCAAGTTCAACTGACGGGAGGGGCATCCTTCAACTACCTACTTTCCATGATGGTCGCTCAAATTTATCAAGGAATTCCCCGCCATCCCCTTTGCGCAACCGGTAGGTGAAAATAGATGTGGGGCTCATGATGTACCTATCACTGATCGCCAATCGCTGAGTCAAGTCAAGGTTGTAAGTTGTGACAGGGAGGTCCTGGGCCACGTGCCCTTCCGAGCCTTGGCCAAAAATAGAGGGTATCCGAGGTATGATTCCAGACGGGAGGCTTTGGTCTTGTTCGTGGGGGATTGCTAAGTTTTCCTACAATGTTTCGTGAAGGCGGCTCAACAAACCTTTCCTAAATCGAGGGTTAGTCGATGCTAAGCTGAAGAACAAATAAAAGCATTTACGAATCTTGCCAAATACATTGGACATACAATATTTCTGTAGCGGTATCATATGCTTTAGATGAGGCTATCTTAGCCTGGTAAATGAGTGGGGTAACAAGTTATTATTGGAGTTGCGGTTGAAACGAATCCTGTTCAGTACTCCTCATTGAAACTCAACCCGCGGAAGCTCCAAAGGCGAAGTTCTGCGTGCAGAACATGAGTCTCCACTCATCTGGTGCTGCCACACCACATCCTTACAGGCTCACCTTCTACTGAAATAGAAAAATTACTTCAATCCTTGGAATGTCCAAGATTTATGTCCAGGTCATCAGACAAGTCAATCTCGATACGTACCGCTGAACAATATGATACCTGTGCATCCAGACCCGGTTAAACCAAGACCTCATCTCACAAAGTTGTCTTTCTTCGACCGCGTTGAAGTATGATGTGTCTGGATTCCGTGATATCTTGAAGTCACGGCGACATGACAGACTTGCCATCATTGGGCACCCTGATCAAGAACATTGTGAATTGGTACGAAATGATTTGCTGGGCATTCGTTGAGAGGTGAGGTACTGAAATAGCGAATGTCTATCTCATACTGGGGTGTCTGAACCCGAAAGAAAGCAAAGTGGGATGGCGGAAATATAGAAGGAATCATGTTTTCTAAATTTCTCTTTTGGTCTGACTAGTTAGGTGCTTTGCTTCTTTTTCCACGTTAGTAATAGGCTTGGGGCCCCACACAACCACACCCTCACAACAACCATGACCGACTCCGGCAAAGTCTACCACCGCTCGTGCACCGGACCAGCTCTTCAAACCGTCGAACAACACGCTCAAGACGAAGACATCACCCTCTTCGCAAGCTGTTTTTGTCCATTCGTGCAACGCGTATGGGCTGCGCTTGAATATCTTGAGATTCCTTACAAGGTGAGCGAATCTTGCCGTAAGTCGTACAGGGTGAAGAGCAGACTGATTGAGGGTGACGATAACGTAGTATTGTAAGTTAACGTGCCGATCATAAATGACAATGACTGTATGCGTGCATTGATGCACGGCAGACGAAGTCGATCCCTATCAAAAACCACAAGAACTCCTAAATGTATCGCCAAAAGGCCTAGTCCCAGCGCTCATGCTCAACGCTTTCGATCCGCCTCGTGCACTTAATGAAAGCACCGTTATCCTCGACTTTCTCGAAGAGTGCGTTTCATCCCACATACTTACAAGATCAACGTTTTTAAACAAGGTGATGACCACCAAGTATCGCTGCAAAGTCAACACATAGAAGTCTCTTCCCGCCATCAACAGATCCATGTTTGTGAAACTCAACATATATTTGAAAGTGCTCACATACGTAAACCGTGTTCTTTTGCCAGATGCGAAAGCGCTCGTCCGGCTCCAGTCAGATCATATCAGCCGAACGCTCGTGCCTGCGTTTTACAGGTATCTTCAAGCTCAAGATCCAGAGGCGCAAATTTCTGGAGGGAAAGAGTTTCACGCAGCTGTTCAATCATTAGTCGAGCTTTTCGAACGTGCTGAAAGAGAGGTAGGGGGAATAGGGCTTTGGGTTGAAGGTGGTGATTTGGGATGGGCAGACGTCGTCGTTGCACCGTGTGGGTGTTTATTTCTACTCATTGATGGTGATGGAAGGCACTCAAGGCCGTGACGGAGCAGGGATCTTCAGAGCGACTAATGTGTTGAAACACTACCGCGAGTTCGAAATGCCGCGAGGAACCAAATTTAAAGCTTGGTTGGGGAGACTTTTCGAGTATCCTGCGTTTAAGAAGACTTGTAGTGATGAAGAGTTGTATCTGGACAGTTATGAGCGGTGAGTGCACGTTTCTAATGTGGGCGGGGTGACTTACGTATCTTGTAGATATGCGTTCAACAGGCCGAACACGAGTCAGGTGGCTAATGCGATTAATAGCGGCAGGGGGTTACCTTGAACGAGACAACGAGGAATCCAATGACTCTGTACAAACATAAATATGAATGCATTGCAAAGTGAATAAAACAGAGGTACGAAGTCTCAATGAGAATTGGCCAGTGGGAAGTTCTGTATGTATAACTAGATTCCCAATCTAGGGGGCGTCGAACGCGTGGTAAATTGCATAACCGTTCGGAGTTTGCTGCTTGTCGTAAAGCTGTGAAAGAGTGAGTATGAGGCGTGTTCTGTGATAAAAAAGACGGTCCAACAGGGATTAGCGGACCTTCAACTTGGAATATTAGGTATGGTGGTGGGCAGCGCCCGCCAGCAAAGCATGACACTTATATAAGCTATCCCACGCTATAAACACACAGAGAAGTGAAACTTGACGCTATGTACCAAAGGAAAGACTTTTGTGTTAAGCGTTCGCGGGCGAAATGTGACGGATTTATGTTATAAACAAGAGTATCAGAATACATTTTGCAATTTCACGTTTGTGAGCATATTTTAGCCTCAGTAATGGTTGGTTTTAGGCCCCAAGAGCACACAACAAAAAGTCTATTCTGAAATTATTGTTGGCTGGGGGGAAATGAGAATATTCCTTGCTGTGCATGAATGCAAACGACAACGGGTGTGGTACATAGAGGTCTCGGATGAAAACAGCCCCTGTAAACAGTAAAAGGTCAGCCACAATTCGCGATTTTCCAAAAACGGGACTTACGGCTTCAGCGCAGATATGCGACGCGCTCGTGTTCCTTTGAAGTTCTACATACTATGTGCAGTCAACTCTTGTTTTTTAAAGATGTTATGATATTTTAAGTCTCACTGTAATCTTCAACACTAAATGGCGCGTCAAGTACAGCCTGGCCCTTCCAAAAAAGGTGCTCTAAAGCCAAGAACGAGCAACTTCAATGTGCCCGCATGAAAACGCAATGACACTCAAGAATTCATGAATGCCATGTTTACTGATGAAGATCATGCTCACTTACGACATCGAGCATGGAAAATTGATACAAGTGGAGTTGAGAGGTAGCAGCGGGGGGCATTGATTCAGCATAAGCTTGATTCTGCCACTGCTGCCAAGAAGAAGGCTACAGAGAAGCAGGCATCTAATTCTGCCAAGGAGACTTATTTTGCAGGTGTTGCGCTGGTGCTCGATCAAAACCAACTTGTATGCTTGCTTGATCCAGCTCTCAAGGATCAGATCGAGGTTTATCGCTGTCTAGGAGCAGAGAAGCATATTCCACTCAAATCACACCTCAACAGCAAGTCACAGTGCCTTGAGTTGCTCAAGAAGCTTTCGGCTCGTCACTCAGCACGTTTACGAGGTGAATTGGTGACTCATGACAATGATCTCGATGACACAAATGATGACACTTAGGTGGATACTAATATGCTCCCTTGCAAATATTGCATATAACCTATATTTACAAGCTTGATCACATAATTCAGTGCTGCACATAGGATACTTTAGCATAATCTACACTAGTTTCCACCACAATATAATGCACAATAACTGCTTTGCCGTTGAGTACGCGCTCGGTTTCAAGAAAATGGACCATTTAGGGGTTTTTGGCTTATATAAGCGTCACGCTTT